TAAAGTTACGCCTTCTTTCTTTGCGTGAACATTTGGGCGGCGTTATGCAAATCTTCCCACATCGTGACGTAGACACGTTAGAACGAAACATTTTAGGTAGGCGTGGCTGACTCTTAACTTTTATAAATAATATCTCTTTGGATTTGAGACTTTAGTCTTTGCAACTTTACAGATCTTCTTTATGCACCAAGAGCTTGTAACACTCCAAAGAGAAAAGAAAAATTTAAATCGCATCATATGACCCCTTTAACTAAAATGAGGGAATGAAGTCATCTGTAGGAGAAAAAAGACAAGACCCGTAAATCCGTGGCCTCAGAACAGCAGAATATGAATGCAATGCGCAACTTTGTGACTTTAAAGTTTTATCGTGTGTGATTATTGGTATAAGTCGTGAAGTGTATTACAATTTGCATGACACTAAAATGATGTTTAGGGAGTCCTCCTGTGCTTTTATGGACCTACAGAGATTTATATAGTTTTTGGAAGTGTTGTTGGTTATGTTGCTGTGTAATCGGTTTGCCAAACCAGAGCCAGTTTTATGTATGTTTGGCAAAACTCAAAAAGTTTTTTGGCTGCTGGGCGATAGTGGGGAGTGATGCGTAATCACAATGACTTATTTTGGTAATCCACCAACATTTCAACAACCTACAGATGAGAATCATAAATTAGGCTTAAATCCACCCCAATCTAAACTGTCCAGCGCATTTCCAACAGGAAAAATGTCATTTTGCTTTTGAATGCCAAGTCATGACGTTATAATACGACTTGATTATGATAACTGCACTTTTATATGATTAGATATTTTAATAGAAAATATCTGATCACTCCAACTTTGTAATTTTTGTCTTTCCTAATATTGTGTTCACCTGTGGTGTCTCAAGAAGGTAGGGCTAGTAGTACACTTAAACTGGCAGTAAGCTTGTGGTTTGGCTCACGCAACAGTGGAAACCACTCTACTCATTGAAAAAAGGACTTTATCCAAACCCTATTTTGAAGTTATTTGCTCTGTTGGATTTCAACAAGATTGGTTACAGAAGTTATCTTACACTTATTTAATGTGTCAGCAACAGTGCTTCCAAGAAAGTTAAAGTTGCTCCTCTGTTTAAGCCAAAGGTGGGAGATTCGATATTTGGATTAATTTCTTCTTATTTGCAGTTGCCCAGTATATTTTATTCTCATGTATGGTTTTGCTTCTTCTTGTAACTTTAAAAAAAATATATAGTCTATTCTGCGAAATTTGATGTTGTAATAACTTGGTGTAGAAGGTGTCAGGCCATAAGGCTAAATCTTTTGATTTATTTGCTTGCGTTTGGAATCAGAATGCAAATGTCCCATGCAGCTCGTGTACTTTAAATGTGTTCTGAATACTAAAATACTTTTGTCATTGATGTGTCTATCACTGGAATGTGTTTATCACTGCTGAATGCACATAATCAATAGCAGCTGGACAATTCCACTGAATTACAAGTAAGATTAATCAACATAGTTTCTCTCCTTTATTTTAACCATTATACAATTTAGTAAAATTAATTATTTGAATTATTTTGAGACTTTTTTATCGCAGCTCCAATAACAATATATCATCTCATCTTGATGCTGATCTGCATGAGTTGCACATACAGCATTTGGTTAAATAGCAGTGCAAAACTGTGTTGTGATTTGAGTTGGAATGTCTCAGAGGTCAAAGTCTGCAGGTTTGAAAGCATTTTAGATTGATTCCTATCTCCACGAAAGTGAAGTGTCACAATTGTATTGGAGAGTTGTCATAGCTATCCCTTTAACCCTAACATATCCAAAAAGAAAAATAAACCCAACCTCTAACCCTATAAATACAAAACAAAAATAACTAAAAATACATTAAACAACCTTATTTGCTAAAAAGTCATACAAGGGTATATTTACAAGGGTAAATAAAGAACTAGGGCCGGTTGCAGACTGGTCATAACTTTAATTCAGTTATGAAAAGGCAGATTGGTCTTATTTGTGTTGGAAGAGTAAGACTGATTACCCTTTGGCAACTGCTAGTTGGTCAATTTCTTAAGTGGCTAAGTTTATGCAACTGGCCCCTGGTTGTTTCAATAAGTTTTGTATAGTATTTTCTTTACTCTTTACTTCAAAAACTATGTGTAAAAAGGGTAATATTTTATGTATTTGAGGTCTGAGATGTGGGAAACAGCGAAGAGAGAGAGAAGGCTAACATTTTGCATTTTAGGTCAGCATTGCCATCTAATCAGCCAATATTGTCTAAAATAGCCTGCATAGCACTTCATCTTTTATAACATGGGATTTTAACCAAATATATTCAATCTTGATTTTTGTAAAATGTTGCAACATGTACATTTTTTGTTGTGTGTGTGTGTGTGTGTGTGTGTGTGTGTACAGTGTGTGTGTGTGTGTGTGTGTGTGTGTGTGTGTGTGAAAAAATTACGGTTTTGGACATATAAGTTAATAAAAAAATATTTTTAAAAATACCTTAAAGTAACTTAATGAGCATGTAAAGCAAATATCTTTAAAAGTAATTCCGTGTGGAGC